TCCAACCATCCAACAAATACGTAAAGAGCCTACTCTGTGCCACACAGTGTTCCAGAGACTGAGGATACAAGGGCAACTGAACACAGACACTGTCCTAAGTATATTCCCCACAGGCTCCTCTCTGCCTGGACAGCTGTCATCTGGGCTCTCCTCACATGTCCTCATCTGCTGGTGCTCAGTTCAAGTGTCACCTCCTAGAGAGGCCTTCCCAGAGGCCATGCTCACCTTCTTCCCCTAGTCTAGAGCTGCCACTCTTTGCGGTCTGACTTTTCAAGTGGAATGAAAGCCCCACGAGGGCAGGGGCAATGACTGCCTTACTTCCTTCCTTCATCTCCAGAGCTTAGAAGAGCACTTAGCATAGGAGATTCTTGCAATTATTTGCTGAATAAATGCAACTCCTCCCTGTTTTTAGTTTCTCTCTCTCCTGCACAGTGCTGGCAAAATGATCTTTTCACAACAACAAATCTCAGACTACCTTGCAATGGCTGAAAACTTCTATAGCTCCTAGTTGTGTACAGCTTGTCAAATTCTACTTTTTTTTCATTTTGTATTCAATGCCCTACCCAACCTCACATGAGACTAACCTCCTCCAAAATACCAGAGAAGCAATGAAATTAAATGGTTAGGAGTATGGGCTAAAATTTCAGCTCCAACACCTACTAACTTACCAAACTGACCTCGGGCAGATCTGGGCCTCAGTTTTTTACAATACGTGTCAATTAACACAGCTCCCAAACCAAAGGGTTGTTGTGAGGATTAAATTAGTTACTAGATCAGCCCTAGCTGGTGTGGCTCAGTGGATTGAGTGCCAGCCTGTACACCAAAGGGCCGCTGGTTCGATTCCCCATCAGGGCACATACCTGGGTTGTGGGCCAGGTCCCCAGTTTGAGGTGTGCAAGAGGCAAACACACATTGATGTGTCTCTTCCTTTCTTTCTCCCTTCCTTCCCCTCTCTCTAAAAATAAATAAATAAAATGGTAAAAAAAAAAAAGTATTGAGAGTCATTTTTGGTACAAAATAATAAATGCTATTTACTACTCATAAGCCTTGGATTTCAGTCACATCAATCTACTCCTCCTTCCCTAAACAGGCCATGTTCTTTCACACATTCCCTTTCCTTTTTTAACATGTATTATTTTGTAAGTCTACTACTGACTCACTATGACTACATATGTTGATTAATGAAGTTCCTTAGAGCAAAAATGGTATCTGCAATTCTTTGTAAGGTTTGAAATGCTGATTTGCTTGATAAATGTTAAACCAGGATAATTACCTAAAATTAGTCATTTTAATAGTTTGTACTTACATAAGAAAGTTCAAGGTGAACTTTAAAGTTTATTTGGTTTTCCTTTTCTATTCACTTAAATGCTGACTTCTAAGAATAACCGAAGATTAGACGGCTCTCTCCTCTCCCACCTTGCAAGCTCTCGTCTTCCACCTACTCCTTTCTCACCATCATGTGCAACAATAATGCCATAAATACTGACCACAAGGCAGTCAAAGTGATCCTTAAATATTATGTTAAATGTAGGGGCTATTATTACCACTAGTTATACTGACAGATCTTGCCTCTGCTAGTAATTACTGGCAGAACTTGCCCAATAATATGGAGAAACACTGTTTTGTTTTGTTTTTTTCTGGTTTTCCCCCATCCCTTCCAGGGAGAAATGCTGAACTTTACAAGTTAGGGACAACATATTATCTCTCAAATGGAAATTGGTGAAAAATAAATGTCAAAGTTGTAAATAAAATGAGATTGGTAGGTAATTTAAAGTTTGGAGTATTCTGAGGGATATACCAAACTTTATATCCTTGGGAGGTTTGGGTGGTCTGCCAATGGGATAGAATCTGATCCGTTCAAGGATACTGGGTTCTCAGAAACCTAGGAAAGGCAGGAGGAAAAGCTTGCCTTTCAACATATTGCTTCAGGCAGATTTCATACCTTTGAAAGATGTCTACCTGCAGGGCCAGGATCCTTCCCTACCCTCACTATTCTAGTCTAATTCCAACTTATTATAGAGTAGGTAACTGTTAATTACACTGTTTAGTATACATTAATTCCTGGCTTAGGAACAACCATCGTATATATTATGTTGTTTCAATGACAAAGTATGTTCCCAATTCTAAACAACTGGCTTATAGAAGGTTTTTTGGAAAGTGTCTCATTCACAAGCTAGGGATTGTAGAGAGTTGTAACCAGTTCCCTCTGAAGAGGATTTGCCAAGTAGCGTGTCCCAAGTTTTGCAGCAAGAAGCAGCCAACCTCATTGAAATGAGTATTGTAGGATACTTGGCCAAATTCTCAGATCCAAATCTGGGTTAAGCAATCAATAATATAATGGCAAGAAAATAAGAGGAAACTACATGAGAAATGGGAGTGACTGGAAACTGAGACAGCTGGAGTCAGACACACACAGATTTGAAACCTGACCCTTGGGAAGCAACTTCCCTTCTCTGTTTGCCTTTCTCCCAATGGCCCAGGGTTGCCCTTTATCACTAACTAGATCTCAGCTTAGGTGTCACCACTGACTCTCTATTGTGAAGATGGTTACCCTCACCTGATTCATTTTCTTCTCTTCATAGCATTTAACCACTACTTGAAATTATCTTATTGCTTCTTTATTGTCTGTCCCTGAAAGAGCATAAACTCCATGAAACGTTTCATTCATGTCATGCTCACTGGAGTATACCTAGGGCCTAGCAAAACATGCATTGCACATGGAAGGATAAATATTTGTTAAACAAATAGGGATATTGTGCAAGGATTCAATGTGGAATAAATTATCTATCTGCATGCCCACCTACCTACGTTTTTGTGTCTGGTACAGTGCTGCTATACAGCAGACCTTAATAAATACTGTAAAAGATACTGTTATGAGCCAGAAAGTATTTACTGAAAAACTTGGCTATGTCTCATAGCACAGGAGAAACCAGGAGTATAAAAACATGATTCTTCTAGGGGGCAAAGAAAAAAATCAGCTAAAGACTGATAGCAGCTTCAATGCTAACTTAAAGTCTGCTAATAGGGGGAAAGCGGTTGTCATTGATAAACTCCTTTAGTCAATGTTTAGAATTTATAGAAAACTCCTAGAAGCTGCCTAGTCCTATGCTGATGTTGATAACACGGGAAAAAATGGAAGAGTGGTTGCTGTGTGGGTGAAGTAGAGAACGGTTCTGCATTTCTTCCAGAAAGTCAGTAAGAGTTCTGGTCCATCTTTCTCACAAAGAGCAAGGTGAGGTGATTCCCTAGCAAAGTGACCCCATTCCCCACATGATGGGTTGCATGTAAATCCATTCATCCAGGTACACAGCCACATCACTCTTTTCCCCTCTCCCACCTTTTGTTGAACAGCAGGGATGCTGCCACGTGAAACTGGAAGCAACCAACGACGAGGTTATTTCACTTCCTTTCTCCACAGTGTTGCAGTTATAGCCGTAGCCATGCTAGACACATTTTGGGAAAAACACTGAAGAACAACGCTTTTAAGGTCTCTTTCAGCATTACATTTCCATGGAATCTTATCTGCACAGGGATTCAAAAGTTAACAAACTGCTTTTGCAATGTTTTGACCATAGTTTGTCTCAAAAGTTGGAAAAGAGGATATTTACTTAAGATAGTGGTTTTCAAACTATTTTTAAAGAAGACTACTTTCTTGTAAATGAAATTTTATATAGCTCCTTAATACATTAAAGGGGTAAGTGTGGTACTCCTCTGGTTGCAGCGAGGGCGAGGGGCCAGGTCTCTATCCTCTCAGCTTTCCTCTTGCCCTCTAAAGGAGCCTCTGACATCTCTGAGAAACACAACTGGTTAAGGGGAAAGAACTAGGAAGTTAATGTTTAGATAGATAAATAAATAGGGAAGAAGGGGAAACTTTTCCTTGATGTGGAGGGAGAGGTAGAGTTGGAGAGTTACCACTTTGCAACCATCATAGTACAAAAATGGGTTTGAGCAAGAATCATCAATGGATGCTCATCCTAGGGGGAAAGTTTGATAAAAAGCAGGATATCTGCATGACCTTCAAATGTCTCCCAATAAATTGTTTAGAAGTGAGAAAATACTACTTATCAGGACACAAACATCACTGGTGTGTAGACTTCAAAAATGTGACTGTCATATAAGACAAAGGAAGGCTGAGGAAGTATTCCAGATTAAAAGATAAAAGAGACAGGACATCTCAATACAATATATGATCCTTGACTGGATTATGTACTGGAGGGGAAGAAATACTATAAAGGAAATTATTTAAATAATGGACAACACTTGGAATCTCGATCACCAATTTCATAAAAGTACTAAATTGGTGTTAAATTTTCTGAATTTGAAAACTGTATGGTGGTTATGTAAGAGAATGTCCTTGTTCTTTGGAAACACATATTGGAAGTATTTGGCCTAAAGGGAACATATGTGACCTACTTTCAAACAATTCTTAAAAAATACATAATACAGGGTATTTACATATACAGAGAGAGCAGTGGTTCTCAAAGTGGGATCCTGAAGGAACACTAGCACACCCAGGAATTTGCTAGAAATATAAACTCTTGGGCCCCAGCCCAGGCCTACTAAAGTCAGCTCTCTGGGAGCAGGCCCGGTAGTCTATTTTAACAAGCCCTCCAGGGGATTGCACACTAAAGTTTGAAAACCACTGATACAGAGAGAATGACCAAACAAATGTGGTGAAATGTTAAAATTAGTAAATCTGGGGAGAGAGTATATAGATCTTCTGTATTATTGAACTTTTTTGTAAGTTTGAAATTGTTTCAAAATAAAAATTAACAATGACAACAAAGGATAACCCTGGGGTGATTTATGTACAGGTGTGGAGAGGAAGAGACTCTGGAGGCAAGGAGGCAAATCACTGGATTTTTGCAGTAACCTACTCAGGAAGTAACGGGATTTGGAACTAAGGTTGCTACAGCTCCACTGCAGAGTGGGGAGCTGGGTGTTTGTGCAGTCTTCAAACAACAAATCTTGCAGAAAACATGGGCACCAAACCTACTAACCTGAATAGGAGAGTCCGGCAATCTCTATAAAGAGGTCCTCTTCAGAAAAGCTTTCGGGGAGCATGAGGAAAGCAGCAGTCACAGCACTCTTCAGATTTTTATCTAGGGCTGACCTAAGAGCAACATTCTCATTCATTGCTACGATTTTCACCTGAAAAAGCAGAACATTCAGAAGAAAAATTCCAGAAGACTATTTCTCAACCTAAGGGGTTTACACAAGCAGTGGAACTCTCCCAAATTTAGTCTTGACGATCTTGGAATATTAGGCCAGTTGACACAAAATAATAATTATTCTAATTAGCAATCCCAGAACCTCCTATTTTGTGCCAAATCAGAGAAATCATCACACAGGAAAAATAAAAATAACTAACTAAATAAATATTTCCCTTAAATGGGGTTTCAAAAAGAAGTTGGTAGATATATAATAAATGTCCTTTTGGAAATTTAATTTGTATTGTATAATCTCATTGTTCACTTAATTTTATGATGACAAAGGCAAAATTTTACTTCTTTATTTAGAACTCTTCTGTTATCCACACATAACCTGAGTAGTTCATACTCTATTTTGAACTGATTTTGAACTTGACTAAAGATATAGAAAAGAAAATTAGGGACAGTACAAAGAACATTGGTTTTGGGTGTAGGTATGGGGTCAAGTCCAAGTATTTATTAGCTGTGTGAATTTGGGCAAATTACTTAACTTCTCATATATAAAATGGGGATAACAGACATGCATCAAAGAACTATTACAAAGATTGAATGAGATAATAAATGTAAAGTGCCTAATGTACTAGTGGATACCTTGACCAATAAAATAAATTTTTCTCCTGAATATGCAGCAGAAGCTGCTGTCCTTGACTTCCCCAAGTTCATTCCCCAAATGAAAAAGATAAATTGCTCTAGTCTGTTCTGAGAGTCTAGGTTTTAAAGGATGCACTGTATTTGAGAGAATGAGTTCAAGTCCCAGTTCCATCTTTTACTAGCTCTGTGACTATGGGTATAATTTGTTATCAGTAAAGTGGGATTAATAACAGAATCAAGTTCATAACATTGCTGGGAAGAGCAAATGAGTTATTACATATGAACTCTTAGCTGAGTAAGTTTCCTTATGTGTTTTGTGGTGCATACTGCAAGAATTTCTCTGGGCCAGAGGTTCTCACTGTTAGCAAGCAGTAGAATTCCCTAAAGCGCTTGTTAAAACACACATTATTAGGCCATTCTCCAGCGTTTCTGATTCGGTAGGCCTGGATGAGGCCTGAAAATGTACATTTCTAACAAGTTCCGAGGTAATGTCTGTGCTGCTGGTCTGGGGCCACATTTTGAGAATCACTGCTGTAAGGTATATACTCAGAAGTAGAATTGCCAAATTGCTCTTTGGAATAGTTGTGTCGATTTACATTCCTGCCATAATTTATTAAAAGCATCATACTCCTTCTGACTGATGTTCTAAACAAGGAAAAAGGGTCTAGAAGTCCCTAATAAGAACTCCACAAATCTCAAATGTATCCACCATCTCTAAACTATGTAGTTTCACACCAAATTTCCTCCTGTTCTAGAAACAGGGCTTAAGTTGCCTTTTATTTGTCAAATAGAGATAATTTCTGACAAAATTAAGATGGTACATAAAAGACACATACATATAAGAAACTCCGAATTAAAATTTTATTAGCAAGGAAAAAGGCTGATGTATATCTCAAAGTATAGCTTCTTTTTAAAAATTAATTGTAAAAAGCAATATCATAAAACATAACTTTTATAAATCAGGCTTGAGAACTTAAATTCTATCTTTTTACCTTTTGTCTCTATTTTTTTTCCTAAGGGAATATTAATAATGTAAAAACCTCTCATATGTTAGGTAAGCCACTTTATTTAATACTACCACCTCCTCCCTTGTAATTACAAGGACTTAACAACCCTTAATTAAACCTTTCAGCACTTGGGGGAATTTAGCATTATTGCAATCATCTGCAGAAAGTAAAACCAAGTAACAGCCCAGCAGCAGGACTTGCCCAAGGTTGCATAATGAGTTGATGGAAGTTTTTCAGAGCAACACCCTTATGCTTGGCAAATCTAGCTCTAAATCATTTGAATTATTCTCATGCATTAGTTAGGGATCTGCTCTGGTTAACTTCTTTTCTTTAAAGATGATTAAAACAAATATCAAGGCCCTACTAATAACTCCTGTGTTTATTTCTTGAATAACTTTCCCAAACTTTGTATTCTACATAGAATCATGGATGTTGAAAGGTAACCTCCTCATCTCACTCATGGGGAAACTGAGGCCCAGAGGATTAAAAAGATTTCTCCAAGAAAAGTATTGGCCCAAAGAATGAGGATCCAGAACCCTGATTCGTTCAGAGCTCTTTGCGAAACCCTGAAGCCTCACTTCCAGATTCTTATTCTTCCTCCTCATTCACCAGGTCCTGCTCAATAATTTTCCACCTCTCTTTTTTTTGGTAGCTTTTACAGAAACTCCATGAAAACAGAAGCTATTTTGAGATGCTAACAACTCCAAGTTTCAAAGAAAAGAGTAAGTTTAAAGAAACTTTTCTATTTAATGTGATACCACATATTCTCTAAGAAAGTTTGTTCTACTTAGGTTATAAAAAAAAAAAAGCAGTCTGTTTGCTATTTAAGGTTAAGAGAGTGTAAATAAAAGCATCCTTACTCAAAGGAAAAATGTCAATTCAGAAGAGTCTGCTACTGTGCTGATCTGGTTTTCCAGTGTAAGGTGAACTAGGAACTTGTCTCAGCAGCACTGTTATTTGTTGTTCAGAGTGAAAAGCCAGTGAACTCTTGGGACACTGCCAGAGAGGCCTGGGAAAAAAAGAAAGCCCTCAGATGTGTAAATAGCTGTTTGTATCTTACTGGAAATGGCCCCATCTGAACCGCATGGATAGCATTAGTGCTACTGCCAAGGAGAAAATCTTTACTGGAGAGAGGAAGGGGCAACACTTGAAGGGACTTTCAAAAGCCCAACTTGAGAGATTTGTGAGTACCTTTCAAGATAGAAAAAAAGAGAAAGTCACATGTGGTCTCCTCTATAATACGGTCACATGGAGACAGTACTTGAATAGCAAACAGTGAAGTTACAGGCACAAAGAACACAGCCCAATCTAGTGTTCAAATACCCAACCACGAACCAAATGACCCTTCCCATGGAAGTTTTTCATTCCAATGACCGGAAAGGCTAATTTTTTTCTAAATGGTCATTGCCTGCAGACCAAAAAGAAAAACTGAACATCGGAGCTGGGTGAAACCTTATTAATTACCTGTTGGTCTCTGGGCTCTCCCCAGATACCAGTGTAGTGTTTTTTCTTCTTTTTTAATTCCTTTGGCATACACAGAGGAGAAACTTAGTTGGTCTTTTACTTAAGTAAATGAATGGCTCAAACTTTGCATTTCAAAGGCTAGAGGCTCAAAGATTTGCAGAGCCAAAACTAGTAAGCCAGGTTTTCCATCCATCTCCACTCAGGGATCTTTTCTACGGGGGTTTTTTTCTTTTCTATCTACAAAAAGTAAATCAACAGCTACACTATGATGATGTTTGCAAAATTGTGAATATACTAGAAACTACTGAATTGTACACATTAAATGGTTGAATCCTATGGTATGTGAATGGTATGAGAATGCTATCTCAATGAAGCTGTTAGACACTAAATATGACATGCAAAAATCCAAACTTACGTTAAATAAATTAGGGAAATGACTATTAATGTTACTTTGGAGTTCTTTTGACTTAAAAAAGGATTAGCAACAAGGTTCTATTAAATATTTTAAATTTACTTGTTCTTTATTTGGAAAATGACTTGGTAAATGACTCAGAAACTTAAGGCTGAACTAAAAATAATGAATTATCTCCTCAATGATGAAGAAAGTTAATGGCAAAGTACTGGGTTGGCAAAAGAGTCTATTTAGTTTTTTCCATAAATAAAAGTCACATTTTTCGTTTTCACCGATAACTTTATTGATTTGGATATTTTGAGTATGTCGGCTATCTCCATCATGGTATAGCACTGATTTTTCTCAATTAGTATCTTGACCTGATTGCTATCAACTTCAACTAGCCCACCTGACTGGATCATCATCTAGGGAGAAATCTCCAGCACGAAACTTCACAAACCATTTTTGGCACGTTCGATCAATCACAGCACCTTCTCCATACACTGCACAAATCTTTTTTTGCATTTCAGTTGTGTTTTTACCTTTCTTGAAATAATAAAGCATAACATGCTGAAAATGTGTATTTCTTCCATCTTCAATATTAAAATGGCTACACAAAAATTCATCAATTTTGATAATTTTTTAATGCTTGCTGATGACAGCTGTCACAATACAATCTAACAAAATTGTTTCAAATGAAGTTAAAGACAAATAAGTGCTCTCAGAGCCATCTTACGGAAAAAACCAAATGAACTTTTTGGCCAACCCAATATGATAGAATTTTAATTTACATTCAACTTTTTCCAGAAATGTCCATCTTTTAAAGCAAAGTACTCCTTTAGTATATCTCTTTTTTATTAATAAGCTTTATTTTGTAGAGCAGTTTTAGATTCACAGCAAAACTGAATGGAAAAGTACAGAGCTCCCATACCCTCTGTATATTTTAAACAAATTGCAAGTGATTAAGAAATTCTATTCTAGTTGCAATATGAGAGATAATTTTAGAGCTTTAGACAATATCATTTAATGTAACTCCTTTTAAAACACATACATACAAAAAATTCATATTCTCATAATTCCTTCCTAGGACATTCACCCATTCTTTTTATTAAAATACTACCCTTGCTTTCCATCCGATCTGTTATAGTTTGATTAATACTTGCTGCCACCTAGAGGTAAAAATAGTTTGTTTAACGGCAGTTTTCTTTAGCCCTGACCAGGATGGCTCAGGTCTCGCAAAGCGAAAGATTCCTAGTCAGGGCATATGCCTGGGTTGTTGGCCTTCCCCATCCCTGGTTGGGGCATGTGTGAGGGGCAACCTACCGATGTTTCTCTCCCTCTCTTTCTCCCTCCCTTCCCTTCTCTCTAAAAACAAATAAATATAATCTTTATTTTAAAAAAGATATTTATCTTGAGAATAGTTAAGTAATTTCTACTAGAGAGGGAAACTAAAAGCAGGAATGGGTGTAGGAGTTAATTCACCCATTT